GTTACAAACAGATGATGATGGGCGGGAACGCGTTATTGCGTTTGAGTCCCGACAGCTAAAAGCTGCGGAGAAGAACTATCCTGTTCATGACAAAGAGCTACTTGCAATGAAGTATGCTCTCGTCAAATTCAGAGTTCATCTTCTTGGCTCTAAGCCGTTTGTGATCTATACAGATCATGCGTCAATACGCACTGCGACCCAGTCGCCTCACCTCTCTCAGAGAATGGCTCGTTGGCTTTCCTTCTTTGCCGAGTACAACTTCGAGGTGAAGTATAAGCCGGGCAAGCAAAATGCTTTGGCGGATGCGTTGTCACGCAGGCCTGACTATGAGCTTGCTCATGTTACGACTCTGTCGTCACCAGTCACTGACCTAATCCGCACGGCGTATGTCAAGGATGAACATTGTGTAGCCCTGCTGAGTGCTCTAGGGAGCGAGGAGTTTAAGGACTCGGACATGTATTGTCGGCACGGTTACGTGCGAGGTTACATCGATATTCCATCGATCAAGGCCTGTTGTGCTATAGCACGGATGTGGAGGATACCCCTCGCATCGTTGTCCCTCATGATGAGGAGTTGAAGTATCGGATCCTCTATGAGGCACATGATACTGCGTTGAGTGGTCATCTCGGTCGTGAAAAGACCTACGGCTTTGTGAGCCAATGCTATTGGTGGACCAAACTATACAAATGGGTGAGCACCTATGTACGTACGTGTGAAATGTGTCAACGGGTGAAACCCTCACCACATGCGGCAGCGCCGCTGGCTAGTTTGTCTATACCCAAAGGGTGTTGGGAGTCCATCAGTATGGACTTCCTGTTCGGTTTACCGAAGGATTCGTATGGAAATACGGGTATTGTGGTCTTTGTTGACCGTTTGAGCAAGATGGCTCCTTTAACGGCGGTGCCAGACACCATTGATGGTGAAGGTACATCTACGCTGTTTATCGATCGCGTGTTTCGACAACACGGTCTGCCGTTGGCAATTGTCTCTGATAGAGATCCTCGCTTCACTGGGCAGTTTTGGAATTCCATCTTCAAGGTGCTCGGCACACGTTTGGACATGTCCACAGCGGATCATCCGCAGACCGATGGTCAAACGGAGCGCGTTAATCGTGTCATTGGTGACATCTTGCGTAGTGTTTGCGCTGAAACACCTAAGCGTTGGAGCTCGATGCTCCCTGTCGTTGAGTTTGCGTTGAATAACGCTGTGCATGCCTCCACCGGCTACACCCCGTTCTACGTGAACGGTCTCACACACCCTCGCGTTCCGTTAACGCTACCACTACGTGGTTCAGGGCTTGGTGGGGGAGGAGTTGCCGATCGGCTTGCTGATATCAGCCCTGCTACTGTTCAAAAACAGGTAAGCGAGTTTCTCGCAACGCGCTTGAATGTCTTACGACATGTGCGTGACGCACTGGCTGATAGCCAAGATAAGCAGAAGGAACAAGCAGATGCCAAAGGCAGAGGTTGTATTGAACGTTATAAGGTCGGAGACCAAGTTCTACTCAATGCTAAAAACCTACCTACAAATGTAGTATCCGCCGTCTTCAAGACGAAGTTGCGCCCGCGCTTCATTGGACCCTTTACGGTCGTCGCAAAGAAGGGACTTGCCTATACGCTCAACCTTCCGCGCAAACTGCGCACACACCCCGTGTTCTACGTTGGCATGCTTAAGCCGTATCGGGATCCGTCCCACGTGAACTTGGAGGCGCTTGCGCCGGGTAGGTTGGCTTTGCCATCGGTTGCTGAATCCGTATCAGGAGGTCAAGCTGGGCCTCCATCCGGGCTTGGCCCAACTCCAACTCCCGAACACGGGCTCGCATTGCGTCGAACGCACTCTGGGTCTGACCCGACGTCTCACGGAGACCACTCAGCTCGAGAAGCACCTTCTCGTGCTCCTCCTTCGGTATACCGACCACCTCCGACGCTGCTCGATGAGCAAGGGAACCGCCAGTTCCATGTGGAACGGCTCAAGAAACGACGTAGTCGTCAGGGTCAATACCAGTATCTGGTAAAGTGGCGAGGGTACCCGGAGTCGGAGAACTCGTGGGAATTTGAGGTACCCCTTCTGCAGGATTGCCCATACGCCGTTGATGTTTTTGAACATCGTGGCAGGGGTCATCCTTCGACCGATATCGCTTCCCACCAATAGTGGTGGAAGCAGGTGGGTAGTTTGGCTCCGCTTGACCAACTCCCACTTCCATCGGCACAGCCGGAGCATAGCGGGTGCGAAATCGCAATTGGCCTCTGGCCTTAAGCTTGGCATAGTCATACCGAAGCTTTCGTTCGAGACGAACATCTGCCACATTGGCACTTGCTCTGAGAGCTAGCATGCTGCTGAGGTGACGTTTCCGGTGCACCCAGCGCACAAAAGTGTTGTCCTCCTCCTCCGGAGATTCGCCTGCGAATAAGAGGATGGGTATACCCCTCATCGGTGGCACCGGTGCACCCCGTGCTTGCGTGTCAAGTCGCAACTTGTATTGACTTAGAGTCGTCAAGTGGGGTTGCAGGTACCTCTCACGAAGTGCCTGTCGGCTCGCCACTTCATCAGAAGATGTCGGCTCAGCGCCAATGGCCCACGTTGCCAGGGAACGACCTGTCGTTTGGCGTATACGCTCTTCCACATTGAGTGGCGTGAACTGATAGCCACGACGACCCTCAAGGTCTGGAGCAAGCTGCATACGGCGCTGAGCGCTCTCCTCTTGTTGCTCATCGAGCGGGTTGGTGATGATGTGTTCACCTGCATCTGTTGCATGATGCTGGGTTTCTAACGCGGTGGTCTCACTACGCTCGGCAAATGGGTTTGGTGCAGTATGAGGCGACGCCTCTTGCACTGGTGAGTTGGACATTGTCCGTTCTTCACCACGGACATCGGTATCACTACCATAGTCCTCCTCCACGTTAATGCCGAGGTAAGAAAAGAGAGTCGGGGACTCGTAAGGTGGCGATGCCATGGTGTTTCGTGTTTTGCAAATCGTGAGGTTAGAGCGCACACACACCGTCCTCTTCGAGGAAAAGTTCGATTGACGTTTTGTGGTAACGTCAGTCTGGTGGGGGAGGGTGTAATGGGGTTACACGTCGGCTGGTAGCCGACGATAGGTGTGGTGCACACACGAGAGGGGGGGTACCCTATAAGGTAATATTAGAACACAGTGAGCGTATCAATTGCTGAAGACTGGTGTCTGTCATCAATTGATTTCAAGATCTTTTAAGAGATTATTTAGGGCAGGTTAAATACGTTGTTCTAAGGTGTTCTTTTAGGTTAAATAAAGAAATAAAAATTCGGTTCCCATTTTGATCAACATAAGACACGTGCCTTACAGGCGTCTTTGATCGGGAGGACAGAAGCAACGCCTGTAAAGGTAGCTTGTCCTCGAGCACTCTGTGCTGTGATTCATTTGAATCGTTTGGTCCCTCTGGAACGGGGACCGTAAGCTCTCTGAGCTGTTGACTCTCTGAGTCGGGTTCTTTGAACCAAAGTTGCTCATTGAGCGTAAAGTCTTCCTCTGACTTAAGGAGCTGTGTAGCTCCGCTACAGAAGGTCTACAAAGTACACAATCAAAGAAGGACTTTTGTGTGTAATACTCATTCTACGTTGACTTCCAAGTAAGCGCTATTGTTTGGTTGTTGCGTACTTTCTACACTTGACAATGTACGGTAGGTTTTACATCACCTGTCAATACGACTATCAGTGCATCTCGATCAACTGTTACCAGTGTGAGCGTGATGCCTCGTTGCAACTGGTAGCACTTCGTAGTACGTCTACCAATCCAGACTCTTTCGAACTGAAAGTGATGAGTAAGGATCGCTTCAACGCCACGCTTGAGGCTTCTACCATATGCTTACGCTCGAATAGAAGACGGTCAATCCTACGAGATCGATCGTCAGTGGATCAGCCATCAGCGCCTTGTTGTTTGACTAATAGAAAAACGGACGCAACGCTACGATCGCCAAGTCCATACAGCATAAACTCGGCATGCCTGATGAGCAGATAGCCTTGCTTCGCCATCACCAAAGTTCTCAACAGTCAGAGATCGTCAGGGAACAAAGTGTCTAATAGATAAAGGCTATTAATCCGACAGCAAGCTTGTAGTGTCCGAGCTGGTTGCACAAAAAGTGGAGTTGGTTAGATCCTTAGTTCACAATCATGTACTACTCTAAGCCTGCTGATTTCTGTAATGGATTTTCTGCCTGATTATATAATGATGGCATCGTTTACGCAAGCAGGTATTGTCCATCGTGAGCCAGCGCATCGCGCCCTACAAAGCTAACTCTACTGATGACGGGCTGACGCATGTGTGTCGACTTGGATATGGAACATCGCTGTCTCAAATTCAATGACTTCTTGCTGCAATGGTTCATCGAGCACGGCGACTCCATCAAAGCTCGTCACATCGAATGCGTTGCGATGAAGGTAAAAGTTGGCAAGTCCAAACTCTAGCTGTAACCGACAAGTAAACTATGTTTGCCTAGATCTTACGCTTCACAACCCGTACGTGCTCGGATCGTACGAGATCTTCAAACCTTAGCTAAAACAAATGTGTCAGCCACCGCATGTACAAACTTAGGACTCAAGATGAGGTTCTTGGGGTTGAAGTAGAGTAAGCGCAAATTAAATGCTTGCGACCAGCCCGCGCGGTACCCAACTTGTATCGATTTCAGGTACATAATGCTGCCACAGGGTCCATCAAGTCACAAAAGCACAGGCTCAAAGCATCAAATCACGAACTTCATGTTGCTGTGTCTTACGGACACGACTGACCTATCGTGGCCTTTGCATCTTAATTTGACATACATTCGCACTAATGTTATATTTCGCAGCCTATCGTTGCCATGCACTCGACCGAAATATATTCCAGTAGACGGACCAATTACAAACAAACCGAGTCTTTATCCACCCAATCACGAGACCGAGTGGTTTTTTTACCATTTCGGGGCTCAATAGCTCCTCGTCACTCACCCCCCACCGCCACGTCCACTTGGCCGCACCGCGTTCGGGTTATGGCGATCCGCGGCACAAGCGCAGCGCAAGACGGGCGCTACTTTGCACAAGAGAAGAAGCTGCTGGCGAAGATGACGTTCCCGAAGTGCTTCGACCAGCGCGTGGACATGCGCAAAGTGCAGCGCGACGTGATCGACCAGTGGGTCACCGAGCGCCTTACGCAGCTGTTGGGCTTTGAAGACGACATTGTGGTGTCAATGGCGATCAATTTACTGGACCCCAAAGGACACGAGCAACTGGACCCCAAACAGCTGCAAGTGGCCCTCACGGGGTTCCTCGAGAAACAAGCAGGTGCCTTCATGGAGGAGCTCTGGCAGCTGCTGCTCAGTGCGCAGCGCAATGCCACTGGCATTCCGAGCGCTCTTCTGGAAAAGAAGAAGCTCGAGATGCAGGCAATTGCACACGAGAAGGAGCAGCTGAAGAAGGTGCTAGCGGCAAAGCGAGCAGCGAAGACAGAGGGCCACGTGAGAGATGGAGATCAAAGTCGGCGACAGGCAACGAAGAAGCAGGAGGAGGAGGCGGAGGCGCCTCTATCATCTGTGAACAAAGCACGACGGAGTCCATCTGAACGTGAAGATGTTTCGAGCAGGAAAGAGAAGAGGCGGTCCGCGAGTCTGCAAAAATGGCGTCGAAGCCCCGTGCGACACGTGCGCCGGTCAGTGAGTGTGCAGCGACGTCGGCGTAGCCCTGTGCGACGCTTGCGGCGGTCGGTGAGTGTGCAAAGGCGATCAAATAGCCCACGTAGTCGTCGTCGACGCTCGCCTAGTCATCGTCGACGCTCGCCCACCCGACGAAGAAGGTCTCCGCTCCGGCGTAGGAGGTCGCCGAGTCCACCAAGGAGAAGACGGTCGCGCAGCTCACTGCGTGATCGCTCTAGTAGAAAGCGATCGAGGTCGCCGTCGGTGAAGCGTCATCGTGATCGCAGGAAAGTGACGAGCGAGAGCTATTCTTGTTGTGTCCTATCGTCTTACGTTGCGTTGGTTTTGTCTGTTGTTTACTTCAGGTCACCCGCGGGGTCAACAGACAGAGCGCGCGAACGACACTCCACGCGTAGCCGGAACTTGTCGAAACGGGAGAGCAGGTGCCGTGGTAGTGTCGAAAAGGTCGTCGCTTTGTTGCGTGCTGATACATGTGGTCTTTGCTGCGTTCATAGGCAACAGGTTCGTCGCTCTCCGTCCAGCTCTTCGTCGGACTCCCAGCATGACTCGGCATCCTCTTCCAGCTCGCCTTCTCCTGCTCGCCGCCGCCCGAACAAGTCTCGCCGGAAGACTTCCACTGAGAGCGGATCCGGTAGCGAGTGAAGCCTTCAATGACCTGTTTGGACTACAGATGGAGCGAGTCGAACATGGCACTAAATTGCTGTTCTCCGACATGATGCCGCTTTTTACGCGACGAGTATACTACATTAACACGGAACGCGTGCCCGCTAACGGTGTCTTTTGTTGGGGAATGTTTAGACATTGATGCTTTTCAGCCTTGACTCGAGCAGAGAAGCAGTACTGAAAACAGTAGCATTGCAAGCGTCGCGGCCATCATAGATGGGAGCAGCTGAAACAAACGTCAACGAGAGGAAAGGTACAGGTGCCGACCCATTGTCGATGTAAGCCTTTGTGAGCTATTGATGGAGCTCGACGATAGTGCAAAACGCAACGCCGGGTACAAAGGACAGCAGAGTTGCGGCATTGTTGTTGCACGGTCTTCTTCGATATCTATCGTGAGCAAAGGGCTCGACACGTGCAGGCGCATTCGATTTGTGAGTCGACGCAATTGTAAATCTGGAACAAAGACCAAGTGCAGTGCTACATGTCGCGAAGGTTGCGACTGTTGTACCCAAGTTTAAGAGATATAGTACAAGTGTTGCTCTCTTCATTGCATCGTTACAATCCCTTTGCTTGTTGTTGCGTCAAAGCAAAACGAAGATCAACATCGCGCTACAACGTACGTGCAGACAGCTCGTACGTCCTTGCTATTCATTCGTACAAACCCAATTCGTGACATGTGTGCAGAAAGCAGCTCAAGCCGAAGAGGCAACAGGAAACGCCCTAGGAATGGCAATGTCATTGGTTTGGACCGCTGGACGCTAGCTGAAGCTGTGAAGACTCCGCCATGGCCACCTACCAGCTCGTCGAGTCAACGAAGTTACGTGATCAGCACTGTTCAGTCAAAAAAAAGAGCGCAGGCTACAGCGATAAGCAGGCTACATCTAGTCAAGCACCAACAAGATGCACGCGCTTTGTATGAACGATGTCGAGATGCTTCGATTCCATTTACGTACACGAACACGACGTCGCAGCGAGATGTGAGGTGACTGCAGCAGACGGAACTCCGGTGCTGCGACATGAAATAGGCGATTTGTGCATTCATTCAGACACGCTGCAACTAACTTCACGCAGATTGTGTTACATGCATACTACCAGTCTTTGCTTCATGCTCCAAGCTGCGTTTACTTTCCATTCAGATCGACAAACAACACACACCTCTTCATTCGAGTCGCGTCGAAGCGAGTCGTCAATGCATACTGATTTAAGACAGCACCGCTACTTTATCACACACACACACACAACTCAAACCGTCAACAAAACACTTGTTGACACAGCATTTTTTTTCTCAGAAACACAATGCATTCTGACCGCCAGCAACGACATATCTTGACGCACGACCCCTAACACCATCGACGCCCTCAACTCGGTTAATAAAGACAAATTCACTTCTTGACAAGTGTGGACCACTCCCCGTCAACATTACGACCCGTCGGGCCGCACCTTTTCAACTTGACCCCCATGTCCGTGCTCTGCCGAGGCCGTCGCTGCGCTGCGTCTCTCGCGCGCCACCCGCCACGTCCGCTCGCGCCCGCTCGTGCTCATCTCCTCCGTCCCCTCTTCAAGTCGAAGCTGTCCACTTGGCCGCGTCTCGTCCCGCACCAAGCGCTGAATCTCTACGCTCGCGCCCGCGCTCTCGCCCGCGCTCACGTCGCGTATGAAGACTGGGGCCGACGCAACGCGCAGCTGCTGCGCGTCTATCCCCGTGTATTAGCCACGTCTCAATCGTCTACAGCGGAGAAGGAGTCGCTGCTCGAGACACTGCGTCGCCTCCTGCGCGTCGCGCGGCATTTCGCCAAATTACTGGGACTTGCGCTGCCATTGGCGCTGTTGGCTCCTCTGGCGGTCGCAGGCGGCAAAGTGCTGCCTGTGTTGACGACCCGATGGTGGGAACTGGCGCTCTATCTTGCTCAGTTCTCGTCACCTACGGTGATGAAGTTCTTGCAGTGGGCGAGCACTCGTCGCGACATGTTCCCCGCGTCGTTTTGTGACCGGTTTGAAGCGTTCCATGAACACGCGCCCATGCATTCGTGGACCCAGACGCAAGATGCATTAAAAACAGCGTTTGGCGAAGCCTGGATCGACGTGCTGGAGCTGGACGAACACGCGATTGGCTCGGGCTGCATTGCCCAGGTCTATCGCGGTCGCATCAAAGCGACGAACCAAGACGTGGCGGTGAAGGTGATTCATCCACATGTCAAGGAACTAGTGGCAATGGATTTGCAACTATTGCATGGATTTGTCACGATGCTGGAGACCATACCGACGCTGCAGTGGCTCGGCGGGAAGGATAGTGTGACGGAGTTTGCGTCGCTCATGGAACGTCAGCTGAACTTGCGTGTTGAAGGCGAAAACCTCGCGCTGTTCAGCAAACACTTTCGCAATCGAAAGGGACTTCGATTCCCTGTCCCGCTCATGGACTACACGACGGAAAACGTGTTGGTCGAGAGTTTTGAAGACGGATTGCACTTCAGTGAGATTCTGTCGCAAATGGAGCCACCGCGCCGGAAAGCAGTGGCGCGTGTCGTCCTCGAAGCATACCTCCGTATGGTATTCTTGGACAATTTTGCGCACGGGGATCTGCACCCGGGCAACCTTTTGTTTGATGAACAAAGTACGGGGGGAAACGCCCGCAGGTCACGCTCTGAAGCCATGCGGAACGCGGGTGTCGTGGTCATTGATGCTGGGATCGTGACGAAGCTAGAGCAACAAGATTTGCGTAATTTCGTAGAATTGTTTTACGCAGTCGCAACAGGTAATGGGTACAAAGCCGGCGAGCTCATCGTGTCTCGCAGCAGGGGAAGTAGCGTGGGGCCAAACGGGGACCTAGTGCCAGCGAAGTGCAAGGACATCGAGTCGTTTTGCACAGGGATGGAAAAAATTGTACACGAAGCAGTGAGCTGGCGGCTCAACTTGAAGAATGTGCACGTCGGAGCCCTGCTCCGCCAAGTCATGGAGCTCTGTTGTACCCACGAAGTGAAGCTTGAGGGCAAGTACGCGTCCATTGTGATTTCTATCGCAGTCTTGGAAGCAATTGGCAGAAAGCTGGATCCGGACATCGATATACTGGCCGTCGCGCTTCCGATCATTACGCAGTCACTCGTGAAGAACGTACTGAGTTGATCCGGTGACTGTCATGTCCAAGTCGCGAGGACTGGCAGAATCAAGCTAGTCACACGGCTGGCGCACAAGTCGTGACTAGACCGTTCACAAGAAGAGCGGTGCTACCACAGGTAAGAAGCTCTTTACCTTGCAACGAGATAGTGCGAGTGGAGCGAAGAAGATGATGATGAAAAGGCGCGTACCATAGTCAAGTGCACGTCAATATAGACGATCAAGAATAAATGCCATTCAACGTTCGTGTGGTCGTTCAGCGTAAGCGAATGGCCAACGTGAATAGCAATAGAGGCGGTCGATGGATGCACACGACAGCCACAATGCGTAAATTGTGCAGTTTGACTCGGTACCAAACACGTCGACTTGTTCTTTGGTCTCCAGATCACAACCAACGGACTGAGCCTACGAGCTGTCACTCTCAAATTTGCAGTACGATGACACAGTCGGTAGATACCGCTTTGCAGCTCTTTCCGATCATAGAAGAAGAACGCTGCGGCATGGCACACCATGTCGCAGCGTCTGCCGTCCAGCCACTCGTCGCTCTCTTTGTACCCAACGACAAACACGACAACAGCCACGAGCTGCAGACGCTCTTGATGCCCGTGTTGTTTTTGTTCCGCGGCCGCCACGACATTGTCCGTCATTGTGCTTTCGACAACCAGCAAAAGCGACGAGAGACTAACAACAAACGTGCGTGACAACTGACTCGTGCTTTGATGAACAGACACTTGTGCAATCGTCTTCACGTGATAGTGCCAACCCACGTCTCGTCGTGTTCAAGAATGGCAAGAAAGCCGTCGCGGTCACGACCGACACGGAGCTCAAAGACCGCGTGTCTACATTGGTGGACGAGATCGGCTGGAGCCCAGACTGCCCCGACGAGACGCAGCTGCCCAATTACCTACAGCCCATCGACGCCGACGAGCTCTTGGCTGACGTCAAAGCCTTTACCATTGCTGCCGGTCAACGGGACTACGTGGCCAACGCGGCCAATGTCGCGTCCATAATCTGGCACGCGTTCATGGCAGCTGGACGCCCCATGAACTGGTCAGGTTTCTACTTTGTTCGGCCACTCGCGAACCCCAACGAGAGCGACCACGACCACATGCTCGTGCTCGGACCGTTCATGGGCAAACCAGCGTGCAGCCGCATTCGCTTCCACAGCGGCGCCTGTGGCGCGGCGTGGCGAACCAAAGCCGTGCAGCGCATTGCAGACGTCCACGAGTTTCGTGGCCACATTGCGTGCGACAGTGCGTCCAACTCGGAGCTCGTGGTGCCTGTCGTTGACAAAGACGACAACGTTTTGGCGGTCATTGATCTCGACAGTCCAGTACAAAACGGCTTCTCGATGGCGGACGAGCGCACGTTTGGCCAAGTGGCTCGCGTCATGGCCGACGCCTGTGACTGGAGCAGCCTCCGTCTACCATTCACACAACCGTAAACAAAGCAGAAGCGACGGAGAAGAAGGTGAAGAGAGAGAGAGAGAGCGTGAAGCCGCACGCGCGTCAAGTGTCGATTGGTTTTCGTCACATGATGCGCCGTGTCCATTCATTTACGCTTCTGGTTCTCTGTACCCATTACGGCGCGTCTCAAGAAAAAGCACTTTGTTCGCTGCCCCCATGGTTCCCTGCTTTTTCTCGTTCGTCACGGCGGCGATCGTCGGTGCCACGTGTGACACTCTTTTCTCGGACACGCGCCATCTGTAGCCATGACGACCCTCGTCCGTTCCGCAGAATGGCTACATTCGATCCCCCCAGGAGCTCCACACGGCAGGAACGCGACCGAAAACGGACAGAGCGATGGACGCGTCGCGTCTCCACCCGTCAGTGCCGCATGCAGCCAGTGGCCGCACGTCGAGCTGGTTGAACAACAACACGGCGCCAGCGCTCCAGACCATACGTGCGTTCATTCTGCGGCGCGTGCTGCTCTGGTCGCTCTTGGGGCTCTGGGTCTTTGGCGTGAGCGCGTATGTAGCCATGTGGGTCTACTCGCTACTGTGTGTTGTCTGCTATGTCGCTACGCGTGGCCAATCGTTGCTGCCGCAGAGTGTCGTCGCCTATCTCTTGTTTACAGTGCTATACGAGAGCTATCATTACGTCACGCGCGACTTGCCGCGCGAGTGGCCCCGTATGCGGCGTCTCGTGCGGTATATGCTACTGCAGTACCCGTATTTTCGCCTCAATGTGACGGTCTTCGAGGAACGTGAGCTGGCCAACGAGAGACGACAGCGGAGCCTGAAGGAGAGTGAGAAGACGAAGCACGGTGATGACGACAATGTAGAAGGTGATGGCGTGGGTGGAAGCCACTTGAGTGCCGCTGCAGCAGCTCGAGCTATTGCAGCAAACGATCTGGCGCCATGTGTGGAGTCAAACGCCAATAAATTGTTTGCGTACCATCCACATGGAGTGCTCACGTGTGGCTTTTCGTTCAATGGCGCGTATCATATGACGTTTGAGCGCTCGGCCTGTCGGTGGCTGTCAGCAAACAATTTGTTCTGGTTCCCGCTGATTCGTGACATTTTGAATTGGATGGAGTTCAGCAGCTGTGCGAAAGCCAATATGCTCAAGTTCATGCGCAACGGTCAGAACGTCTGCATCATTCCTGGTGGCTTTGAGGAAGCCACGCTATTTGAGCGCGGAAAACATCGTTTGTTTCTCAAGAATCGCTTTGGGTTCATCAAACTGGCCTTGCAGCACGGCTATGAAGTACACCCGGTGTACACGTTTGGCGAGGAGTACACGTTCCATACGTTTCCATACTTGCTGTGGTTCCGGCTGCAGTTGAACCGGTGGCGAATTCCCGGCATCCTTTTCGTTGGTGACGCTATGTGCTTTTACCTCCCACGCAACGATGTCGACCTGATCACTGTCGTCGGAGCACCGCTGCGTTTCCCACGAATTGAGCACCCTACGAAGGAAGAGGTGCGCAAGTACCAAGCGCAGTACGTGGAAGCGTTGAAGGACCTTTTCGACGCCTACAAGGGTGTCTACGCTGTCGACCCTACTGCCACGTTGGAAATCTTCTAGATGCGACGGCAGTGCGTTCGCGATTCTGTTACGAGTCATAGATTGGACGTCGGCGTCGCAGCGCTGGGCACAACATCAATGGAACGTACGGATAAGCTCAGCCTGTAAGCCCGTCAGGCGTTGAGCATCTCTTAACGATTACTACCGTTTTTTTTCGCAGTATCTACCTATTCTATAGTGAAGTACACCTGAAGACAACACGAGCAGAGAGGAACAAGAAAACCGACTGATCAATCACTATCATCTTCCGGCTCGTGGCTGTCACCACTATCATTGTCACTGTCGACACCGTCTTCGTCATCGTCATCGCTTATTTCTAGCCCCTCATACGCTTCCTCCTCCTCTTCCTCGTCATCATTACTAAACTCCAGTTCTTCTTCGTCCGTCTTCTGCTTTTTTCGTGCCGGTTTGTCGTCAACAGCTGGAACGTCCTTGACGCCGTCCGCACAGAACAAGACACAGTTTAGACGCTGCTTGGCGTAGATCACGTGGCGGTGTTTTCGCGTATTCACATCAAACACATGCACCATGCGGTCCAGCCCCACTGCCGCAATGAAGGGCAACGTCGGGTGACAAGAAATGTCGCGGATAGAGCCTACAGGACCCGTGCACCGTCCCATGTGCTTCAGCGTCCGCAGGTCCAAGATATCCAAGTTTCCTGCTGTGTCACCCACGTACACTTGCGTCTCGTTGGGCGAGACACATAGCGACTGGATCGGATGCTCGCCAAACTTGTCCAGCTGCTGCACTGGCCGCCTCTTTGTGTTCGTATCGTAGATCCTCACGCATTGGTAGCCCGTGCCAACAACAACTCGATGTCCATTGCTCGTACCAGGTGTGGACAAGAACCTCAGGTCTTTCACCCACACTGGCACCCGCATGTCGAGCTTGTTGTGTGTCACGTTCTTTGCTTTGAACAGCACTTGCTGCGTCTCGAGCGACCACAAATTCAGGTCGTGCTCCTTGCCACCGACTCCAATGACCGTCTGCATTGCCGGCTCAAGCCTCATCATGTCCAAGTCCCCACCCACACTAAACTGCGTCTGTGCTGCCGCATCCTGCAGCGTTCGACGCACCAATACGTCGCCAGTGTCCGAGCACTGCACGACCGAGCCACACTTGCGCAGCACGTCCAGTCCGACACAACGCGTTAGCTCCTGCGGCTTCTTCTGCATTAGCCAGGACCACTGCAGCTCGTTTGAGACGCTCAGGTGCTTGCCATGCGACGCCTCGTAGCTCTCGACACACCCATTGGCCCGAGCCAGCACCACATTGCGCTGGCCATCGACTGTTTGCTGCTCATTGGCGTACCAGCACAGACGCTGAATCCCTCGAGCACGCGCCTGTGGCTGCTCACGACTGGACAGAATGTGCTGCTCGCTCGTCTCGAGCTCAATGGACTTGAGCAAACCGGTCTCGTCCCCCACTAAGACGCGCATGGGGGTCTTCTTGGCGAATGGCTACACAATATGGGAATGCTACGCGTGACATGACTGGCGGGCAGAGCGGAGATATGATTGGTGGAGAAAACGTGGCCACGGTACAGAAACACGTCGACTGCAGTGGGTACAGGCTGGTTGCAGCTTAAGGGGAGGGTGGTACAGGAAGGCGCATGTGCGACGTTGCGTAAAAAGTCAGCTGGTCCTACGCTTTGAACATCCTGACGATGCGTTTTGAAAGAAAGCTGAATCCGTAGCTAGCTCCGAGTAGTGCATTTGACACGTGGGTACATTACAAGAGCCCGTCGAGTGCAGGTTGGTCCGTGGTTACGCTTGACGCCGTCTGTAGTGTCGCACGGTAGCGCTGCATTGCATTTCCATGTTGGTTTGGCTCGGTACACCTCTCAACTTTTGTAGCTCGTCGTTGGTCTTACGGCCACACGTATTGCGTCGTGGCGACAACAAGCTAGACACGATGTCGATGCCCAAGACCTATACTTCAGCTCTTGACGTGTTCTCGCAGTCGACTGCTGCCCGACTGCACGATCGCGTGGGGATCCACAATGGCATGACAGAAAGGATCGACAGCTCTGAGCACCGCGGCTGTTGCGAGCGAGTAAAGCTGGGCTTGCTCACAGCTCACAGCGGTCGCAGCTGTAGAGCCAAAGGGACGTTAGCGCTCTAGATCGGAGCAAAACGAACCCGATACACGGGTCAGGTGAAGCATTGCAAAAGAAGAGGTCTGTTGTTTAGTCAAAGACTTACCAGAGCTTCTCATGCCGACGCCAAGACTTACCCAGTGGTCAGGGTTTAACCAAACGAGTGGGAGTCGACCAGCGTTTAGAGGCTCTCATTACTGTAACACAACGACTCGCTAGTGACCAGCTCGACATTCTGTTTGTAGTAGTGTCCGAGCGCTGTCTTTTTCGTGTCTTGATTTTCAACGATCCAAAGAATTTCAATGGATGGGTTGAGACGAATGACAACGACTCACTGACTTACATTAGACTGCGTTGGGCGAGACTCTTATCAACACGATGTAACGGAGCTTGTTTTGACGCATGTTACCCGTGAACTCGCCGAGTCGGTCACATCAGATTCAATGAAAACTTTTACAGACTTTTTCGGCAGGTCTACCGCATGCTCTGCGCACACAAGTCCAAAGCACAGACAAGTCAAAGTTGAATCTCCAAGGACAACAAGAGAGCGAGCTACGTCGTTAGAGTCACTCAAACGCACCAGAACATGAATATCGAGCCGCCTTCTGCGGCTTCTTTGGTCTATGGCCACGTTGACACGGGTGAGTGGCCAGTATTTCGAGTTCCAACAATCGTCGATCTTGCATGCCGTAATTTGCCTCATGCAAGCGGACGCGATGCTGACTTCGGCTGATCGACTCGTTACTAAATCCAAAGGTCACTCATCTTGTCGAGCGGGTTCGGGCGGTCAAGCGAAAGACTTCATTTACTTCATTACTTAGCCGTCCGTCAGTCGAGAACGACAGACCGTTCTTTCGTCGCTGGGAAGTCAACGGCATAGCGGGTCGAATGGTAGCACGTGGTCTATAGTGGATCGCAGAGAGGTATCTACCATTCGAGCTCCTAATGGATGTTGTCTCTTCAGCCTCTGCTGATGGACACGTTAGTATGCTACTGTGGCTATTGATTCACAGTCGAGTGGCTGCTGGGGAAGAATCGCGTTGTGCGAACAAATCAGCAATGGGCAATTCCCGACGGTAGAGTGGCTGAAGACTTACGTTTCAATCGGCTTAAGTGTGCCCAGTTTATTGTCAACAGAGCCGCAACAGCTGGAAACTTGGAGATTGTCAAGTGGCTGCATGAGAGCTTTTGCGTTAGATCTTGGTGATGCAGCGGTCACAGTTACATATGACCACAAATGGGATCTTGGACGATGGATGTTTGACAATGGTGAGCGTGCTGGTCTAGACGATGCGCTTTGCATTTTAAAGATATCTATATAGTGCAGCAAGATCTGGCAACCTAAAAGCGCTTCGGTTTGTCGTTGACCGTAGACACCCGATAGTTTTGCGTTCTTCCTTCGAAGTGCTATTTTAAAGGTCGCTTGCACAAAGTCTAGTGGATCTACGAAGAGAAGGGGTCTCGAAGCATGACGTTGCATATCGAGGCTGCCAGAAACGGTCGACTACATATGGTAAAGCACCTGTTTGAGAAAAGACCGCGTGTACCGGCGAAATATTCTGTGATCGATGCTGCTGCCGAATCGAGATGTCTTGAACTTGTGCAGTGGTTCTTCACGCACACCAAAAACAAGTGCACACACTGAGCTACGAACACAGCTTCGAGAGAGAAGTACCTCGATGTAGTCCAGTGGCACTACACAAATAGCACTGAAAGATGCAGTCCGTTTGCAACGGACCATGCTGTTTGCTACGGCCACCTCGATGTAGCCAAGTGGCTCCACGCCAACCGAGACAAGACCTGCTTCCTCCGGGCGTTGTATTGCTCGCGGTAGAGAGCATGTGGATGTGGCTATGTGGCTTTACAAAAACAGATACGAATAATTTGATCCTGGAAGAATAAAGGGTAGTGTTGCTTTGGGTAGTAAGTTGATAGTTCTGCAATAATTGCATGCAAATCGCATCGGTAGATGCTCTACAAAGGCTATGGATCCAGCTGCGTCCGTGGGAAAACCCTCGATATGGTGAACGGATTCATTGCAGCCGCTCTGAGGTATGTACATAAGAATCTGTGGATAACGCTGCTATGCACGGACGTGTAAAATCAAAAAGTGGCTTTGAATACGGTAGCTATTCATACAAGACCATTAAACTTGCAGCTACTATCGGTCACAGTGATGTTGTGAAATGACATCGCTCGCAACCGGATGCACGCACATCGCCGTGAAACGACTGCATACAACGGCTAGGTGTTAGAGACAGCAGCGTACCTCTCCAGAGTGCTGCAGAATCCGTTTGAGTCCCGAGTGCGAGTTTGGCCGCCTAAAAGCTGTCCAGTGGATGCTTGCACGTGATCTACGAGCACTAGATGCGTATTAACCAAGAATAGGCAACTGAAATGGTACCTAGTAACTGCCTGAGAAGAATGGCTGGGAGCAGACCAAAGAAGAAGGATGGACCCGCGCCATGCGTCACGACAGCTCTGTAATGAACCTTTATTTGAAGTCAAGTGGACGATTAACGCGCAAATTGGTAAAAACAAACTTTCCTGCTCAAGGATGACGCTCGGATTGTAATGTTTGCTATTACAAATGGTTTTTCATCCCCGGTAAAACTTTGCACGAAGATACCTCGCACCTCACCTGGATACGCCTCGTCATTCGTTCCTATTGTATGTATCGTGATTTTGGCCGTGCTTTTCGCAATCCGATTAGGATCAGCCAACGTTTTACAGGTATGATAGGCACGGCGGTTGTAACGGGGTTACACGTCGGCTGGTAGTCGACGATAGGTGTGGTGCACACAAGAGAGGGGGCACCCTATAAAGTAATTTTAGAACACAGTGAGTGTATTAATTGTTAAAGACTGATGTCTGTCATCAATTGATTGCGAGATCTTTTAAGAGGTTATTTAGGGCAGGTTAAATACGTTGTTCTAAGGTGTTCTTTTAGGTTAATTAAAGAAATAAAAATTCGGTTCCCCTTTTGATCAACATAAGACACGTGCCTTGCGAGGAGTCTTGATCGGAAGAGGTAGCAACGCCTGTAAAGGTAGCTGCTCTTGAGCACTCTGTGCTGTGATTCTCTTGAATCGTTTGGTCCCCCTGGAACAGGGACCGTAAGCTCTCTGAGCTTGTTGACTCTCTGAGTCGGATTCGTAGAACCAAAGTTGCTCTTAAGAGCGTTAAGTCTTCCTCTGACTTAAGGAGCTGTGTAGCTCCGCTACACTTGGTAGCACTTGTAGTCAATCTACGCCTGAGTCGGTAACGACTGATCCTCTGTGAGGATGGAGCAATCCACGCCCCTCTCTGAGGCCCAAAAGGTCGCGCTTGATAAGTTGGACCGCGGCCGTAGGCCCTGAGTACGTGGAGTTTTCGCTGCACAAGGTCTCGATGTGCTCAACGCACGCGTCGAGACCTTCATGCAGTATGAAACGGCCCTGCTGGGCCAGGTTCAAAACCAAGTAGCGTCGGCTATGCCGACACGCTATGTGGCTATGCCACAAGAAGAGGCTAAGCCTCGTCCCCTTTGGGTAGACGTTAAATGTTACTCTGGGAAGGAGAGGGAAAACTTGACCCTCTGGATCCGTGAGATTGAGATGGCCATAAAATCTGGCCTTATCTCACTTGAGAACCATCGAGCTAAGAGATAGCCAACGAGACCCGCTGGTTCTAGCGGGTCTCGTTGGCTATCTCTAAGCTCGATGGTAGAGCAAGAGAGTGGGCGTTGACGTGTGGCACGTCGGTCAACTTGGCTTTTCCCACGTGGGATTCGCTCAAGTTGGACCTTTTGCGAGTTTTCTCGCCGCCTAACCAGGCATATCGCGTGCGCTCACGCTTCTTGTCTACCCGTCAGGGTAAGAATGAGTTAACGGACTATGTCCAGGAGTTGAGAACTCTGACGGCTGCCATGCAGTCCGACCCTCTCCCTGAGACCGTCTACGTGACAGTCTTCATGGAAGGTCTTCGCACTGGCATTGCCAGGACCGAGGTCTTTCGAGTCCATCCCTCGACTTTTGAGGAGGCTGTGAGCATCGCTTAGAATGCTGAGCACAACTTTAAGTCGGCCAGACTTGGTTGTAATGGGTACAACCTAAGCTTTGTGAGAGCAACCTCTGCAAGCACCTCGGCTTACTGTAAGCCCGAACCGGTGGATCTCAGCTATGCTGAAGATGAAGGTGAAGCTGAGCTTCATGTTGCCGAGCAACGACAGGAGGTGAGACGCTGTTACATGTGCGGAAGCACTAAACACTTGCTTCCCACTTGTCCTTTGCGTAAGCAACGACCGACTCCTACGGGTCAAAACCCCAGCCTCCACCAGAAACTTGGTATGGCAAGGGGAAA